GTTCATGGGCATCACAGCTGGGTAGCTCGGCTGGCTGCTTCCCTCTCTTGGAAGCTTGCATGGGACCTTCTGGTGCCGTAAAAGCTAGTCTCAGGGAGAAGGATTTCAGGTCAGGTTTAGCTTGGATATGTGGGGCCTGTGTTCAAAGTACATAGCGCCTTCAGCAATCGGGACTTACCTTCAGCCTCTGGGAAGCAACCAAGGGCAATGGCCACAGCCTACAATGTTCCAGAAGCCTCTTGGGCTATCCTGACTAGCAACTCCAAAGATGGCTTCCCAAGCTCAGTTTTGGGGTTTTAGTCTATGACTCTTGGGGGTAGCATTGTCAGACCAGGTGGGAAATTTTAATTTCAACTGTGTATGTATGTATGTATATACACATAGGCTTATATGTATTATATGAAACTTTAGATAATGATTCCTTACTACTATATTCCTTAGGCAGCCCTACCCTTATGGTACCATCCTGACTCTCCATCTTCATTGTTTGTTTGAGACAGGGTTTCTCTGATTTGTTCTGATTGCCCTGGAGTTCACCATGTAGACCAGGCTGTCCTTGAACTTGCAGAGATCCTTTTACCTCTGCCTGCCAAGTACTTGGAGGAAGGGCATGAGCTGCCATCCCTGGCCTTTCTCTTTTTAGTAAGGGTAGAGTGTAGCTCAGGCTGGCCTTGAACTCTTGATCCTCCAGCCTCTACCTTGGAAATGGTGACATTACCGGCTTGTGCCACCATGAAGGAATGGGAGGGATGTTGAGACTTGGGGGGGGGGTGCGGGATAAGGGCCTGTCTGTTGTTCCTCACCTCCATTCATCTGGGAGTTGGCAGCTGATGCAGAAAACACCAGTCAAGTTTCTCTGGATGGATTGCTTTTGCATTGAGAGACCCAAAGCTGTTCTCAAAAATAGACCTGTATTTAGGATGCCTTACTCAATCTCATTGAACCCCTCTGACTCTCTGAGCTCCCATTCCCTGGGCTTCACTTTCCCCACTGTGCCATGTCACCGCCCCCCGCCCCCCCCCCCCCCCCCCCCCCCCCCCCCCCCCCCCCCCCCCCCCCCCCCCCCCCCCCCGCGTCTCTATACCTAGGTACCTGTTAACCCGAAGCCCTGGATCCTGTTACTGGATTGAGCTCAGTGAGCTGAATGGCCCCTCCTCTTCCTCTCGTGGAGTCATCTCCCCGGTGTGTCTCCTCTGAGAGCTCCTCCTGTTAACTCAACACCCCTTTTCTATCTGTGAGTCCTCTCTTCTCTGAATCTAACTCCCTCATGCTCTCTCCCTTCCTCCCTCGCTCCAGGAGCTGCCTCTCAGGAGACTTGTTGTCATGCCTACAGTCCGGGTAACTCAATCAAAAGGCGCCCGTAAGCACTTAGAGAAGGTCAGGGGAAGGGAGGGACCAAAGCTTTCCTCCTCTTCTAACCAGACTTCTATTCAGAGTCTTTGAGATTTGGGGCGCTGGTCACATCTTTGGCAGGCCCTCTGAAACCCGGGGACCCGCTGTAGTCCTTCCTAATGGGGTTCAGAGCTGCTTTCCAGCCCTCCGGACTTCGCCCCCTCCCACCCCGGACTTTGATGGCACCTTCAAACAGCTACAATCGAGGCAGGGCCACTGGGGTCCGGGCCAATGCGGGAACAGCAAGTCTCCTTCAGCTGCGGGGGAAAGAAATTGGGTAGAGCCAGGATGATTAAAATCCGAGATACAGTGCCAAGCGCCTGGGGGAGGAGAGGAATCCAAGCATCTCAAAGGGCTCCGACGAATGGTTGAGCTTATTCATTTCCGTCCAGACTCAGTCACTATCCCGCAATGTGACCTTGAGCACAGAACACGCGACTTCTTCAAAGTCTCCCCTTCCACGTAAACGGTGAAAGTGAAGGAGGGAGGAATCGTGCGCAGGCAGGTGCACACACAGGCAGGGGCAGAGCTGAAAAATAATTTTGCACACCTTGGGGTTCTCTAAGGGCCCCACGAAGGTTGGCGGACCCAGCAGCAGCGGCTGTGGGGTTTGTTTTGCAAGCAAAGTGCCTTCCTGGTGTGCAACCAATCCAATCATATGTCCATCCTTTTGTGGACGTCAGTCGTCCCTTTGCCTTAATCACCGCACAACCCCAGAATGATGGAGGAGGGCGTCCTAGCGAGCCTTGTGGCCCAGGAGATCCTGAGCATTGAGTTCTAGGCCAGGCTCTCACGGTCGTGAGGGCGGGGAAGGGGGGCGGGGGTGACGCTCAATCCAAATCCTTCTCTGGGTGGAGACTGAAATGTATGACTTTTAAGCATCCCTTCGAAGTTTACCGCTGTGGGAGTCCAGGCGAGGAAAGTGACTGCTACTTATCCACCCAAAATTTGGGGTGATCCCCAAATAGGGCCAACCCGAGAGAAGGACCGGGAACCTGAGGCGCTTGCGGACGCGCTTCTAGGTAGAGGGCAGGGCCGATTGAGGACCCGCAAGTCTCGGATTGGCTGTGCGGCCCATAGCTCCGCCCCATGTGCTATAAGTTGCGGGGCGGCGCGTGCGGACTGGGTGTGGGTTCTGCGGCCGCCTCTCCCTTCTCTCGTGCCCAGCATCTCTCCTCCCATCGTACCGACAGCCGGGGACCGCCGCGGGGCGGGGGATGCCGGGCTGCCGCATCAGCGCCTGTGGCCCAGGGGCCCAGGAAGGGACGGCAGAACCGGGGTCCCCCCCACCGCCACCCCGGGAGCCCCTGCCGTCCCTCCAGCCCCCGCCTCCATCGCCGACCTCGACCCCGACACCCACTCAGTCACCGCCCTTGCCCGAGGCGGCGGAGACACCCGCAGAGGGGCAGGAGCTGCAGCGCTGGCGCCAGGGTGCTAGTGGGGGTCCCGGCGGCGCGGGCCCGGCGGGAGGCTCGGGCGGGGGTGCGGGTGCGGCGGCAGGGGCGGGGGGCCGCGCGCTGGAGCTGGCCGAAGCGCGGCGGCGACTGCTGGAAGTGGAGGGCCGCCGGCGCCTGGTGTCGGAGCTGGAGAGCCGGGTGCTGCAGCTGCACCGAGTCTTCTTGGCTGCCGAGCTGCGCCTGGCGCACCGCGCCGAGAGCCTGAGTCGCCTGAGCGGCGGCGTGGCCCAGGCCGAGCTCTACCTGGCGGCGCACGGGTCGCGTCTCAAGAAGGGTGCGCGCCGCGGCCGCCGGGGTCGTCCTCCCGCGCTGCTAGCCTCGGCGCTGGGCCTGGGGAGCTGCGTACCCTGGGGTGCCGGGCGGCTGCGGCGCGGCCACTGCCCCGAGCCCGACTCGCCCTTCCGCCGCAGCCCGCCCCGCGGCCCCGCCTCCCCGCAGCGCTGACCTCAGAACCCGCGACCCCTGGGCTCCGGAGACACGCGGAAGGACAAACGGACGGACGGGTCCGAGTGCTGGCTAGATGGACGGCGTCATCTCTGCGGAGGAGACAGGCAGGGGCCCGGGGGCCCTGAAAATGAGACTAAGGTGAGGTGTTGTTAACTGGTGCTTTCTGGGGTACAGTGTGTTTGTGTCGAGGTGTGCAGCAGTCGTGATCTCTCATCTCTGGGGTGCCTGGCGTCTGTGAGGCCCTAAGGGAGCTGTCCTTTTTTTCGTGGCTTCTCTCTTGTTGGGTTAAGTGGCAGCGCTGTTGTCCCCTTACAGAGCTGAACTAGTGGAGGGTGTTGGGCTTCAGGAAGGATTTGGTGACAAACTTTAACCAGCTGGAGCCTGCTGCGATACTGTAGCACCTGCCACCTTCACCTGCGCTTGTGTGGTCTCTCCTGGGTCCCCTGGGACTGTAAGTAAAGTCCTGCCCTTGAAGCTGCTGGTTTCTACACAGCTGGACTCCATCTCTCGGGGATGGGAGGGAAGAGTAAGACCCCAGGATGGAAGGAGCGCTGCCTTGGGGCTGTATGATAGGATTGTTCTCCTCGGAGCCCCTTTCCCATTGGAGGAGACAGAATCCCATAGAAGTTGAAGATTTGCCCCCAACGTGTTTAGTTAGGCCGCTTCTAGGAGACAGCTTTTCTCATATTCCTAATAATTTTGTTACCTGTGTTAGTAGACTGATGGAGATGACCAGAATGGGAGGTTTATCACCTGCTCAACCAGCAGCCCTCCCCAATGTATCTTAAAGATGGCTCTGCCAGGGACAGAGCCAGGTGACTCTTTAACAGCCCCAAGGGGGCAGGCATGGCATCAGCTTCCAGAAAGGCAGGCCTTAAAGGGCCAGACTGGAAATGCCACCTGCTTCTTCCTGACAAGATGCCCTTCGGGCCCCCATTCCTCTGTCTGCACTCAGTGGCCTGGCCCCTGGCTCGCTTCCTGCATCTGATTGATGACAGCCCACTGTCAGTGGTAAAGTGGGTATATCTGCCTCTCCGGAGGGCCGCGGGGGAAGCCAAAATGGGGTGTAGGATTTTTTTTTCTGGCTGTAAGCTGTGGACATTTTACTCATTTAAATCACACCTAGAGACCGGTGCTGCCTTGTGTCTCAGGAACCAGGAGCTAATTTAAAGTCCTCATTTTATAAAATGGAAAAGGGATTTCTCAAGGTCACATGAGAGAGAGGAGAGAGAGAGAAACATGATCCTAGGCTGTGTGTGCCCTTTTCATTGTGTTCCAGCTAGGGAGAGCTGACCTCTGGACCCTGTCTACAGTGACCCAGAACAATACTGTCCCCTCTCCGAGTCACAGCTTCTCTGAATATGGTTGTCCCTCCTGTCAGACCTGAGAAAGGAGTGCAGGAGGAAGAGGAAGATGTCAGAGTCACATCAGTAATGGAGTCAAGTAGATTGCCATGGGCAGGAGTCCTCTGCTGACCCTACCCCCATCAGGCCTCTCTCTCCACACGTAACAGACTTAGCGGCTGGGTTCTCAGAAGGCCTTCATGAAGCCGCCTTAGCTGGACCACTCAGAGCTTCTGAGAAAGCCCTGGGACCAGTGTAGTGGGGACTCTGGCATGTCCTGGCTTTCCCAGATAGGGCGGACTTACTGAGCCCTCTCAGTTTATCCGGGGTGCTGAGGCCCAGAGAGCACAGGACTTCTTGGAGGTGACATTGCTGGCTGCAGCGCTGGGCTTCTGCCAGGACCACCTGATTGCTGGTCTGCAGGACGGCAGTGGCTCCGCGGCTGCTTTCAGCTAATGGCATAGAGTGCTCCCTGCCGTCAGTTAGGACTGTCTCTGGGGTTCACTGTAATCAGCTTTGACCTGATTTAGAGGTGGGGTGGGTGGATACAGAGAGATGACACTTGCTGAAGAAGCGTGGGTGGGCACGTGGGGGGATAGGCAGCGATGGTACCTCCCTCCACTCCCTTCCCCCACCCAACCACAGAACTCACTGACTCGAACCTCAGGTTATACAGTTAGTCTGTGTGCACCTTTCAACCAAGTGAAAGTCACCTTCTCGCCCTGTCTGAGCCTTGTAGCACCCTGTGCAGAGTCCCCAGGTCTGGCTCCAGGCTCTCCTCACCCAGCAGACCTGGGTTTCCATTTACTCCCTGGGTTTCAGGAGGAACACGTACCAGAAGGTCTCCACCGTGAAGGGTTTGCTCTTTGGACCTCTTCCAGGCAGCCTTCCTGGATGTCACCGTCCCAGGAGACCTAACTGGAACCCAGGTTATTTTCTGATTTCATTTTTGAGACAGTTTGCAGTAACCTCCATAAATAGCTGAGGATGATTTTGAACTTTTTTTTTTTCTTCAAAACATGCCTTATTTGTGGGTGGGTGAGGGGCATGCATGTACAGGAGCCCTGCGTGGAGGTCAGAGGAAAACTTGCAGGAATCCCTTCTCTCTTCCACCAAGTGGGTCCCAGAGGTTGAGCTCAGGTGGTCAGGCCCGGCAGAGGCATGTTTACCTACTGAACTACCTGTTTGGTCTCAACTGTGAACTTCTGGTCTCTTGCCTCCACCTCCCAAATGATGGGGGTTTGGTGCATACCCCACCATGCTGTGTTTATGGGTCTGGTGTTGGACCCAGGGTCTGGTCCATGCTGGGCAGGTACTCATTAACTGAGCTACTTCCCCAGCCTCTGGAAGTTTGGTTTCTATGGCTTATATTACTCTACCCCTGATCAGAAGCACTCTTCCCACATGACTTTCTGAAGACTTTCGTTTGCTTTTGAGACAGGGTCTTACTGTGTAGCTCTGGATGAATACTTTCTTGATGGCCCCTAGTCTGCAGACTGGGCAAGTTCAGGGACCCTGGGGGTCTGTGCAATGAGGACACTATGTCAACCAGTGAATCTGGGTGCTCAGTAAACAGAAGCACAAGCCCCTTTGCTTTTAGGCTGGTCCCAGCAGTTAACTTAGCATTGCCACCAGAGGGCAGTGTGGAGCTGCTTAGTGAGAGTTGGGGGCGTGGCCTGGGGCGTGTTCTGTTTCGGGTGGCCCAGTCCTCCACCATCTCCTCCGTGGTCCTGGGCTTGCTGGTTTTGAGCTGTAAGGGTCAGCGTAATAAGCGGTAGTGGCTGTTCCCGAGACCCATTACTGACGGAGTGGTTCTAGTGATGGCTTCTTCTAGCATGAGTAGGCTGGGGTTCTGCTCTGCATCCATCACCCCTGGGAGCACAACTCGAGAAAAGGGACAGAGGGGACCCTGCCTTCAAGGAGAGATTCCAATAGGAAAGACTTCTTGGGAAGAGGCTTCCACTGTTGACTGCCGGCACCCGAATCAGTTCTGTGTTCACCCATTTGTTCCGCTGATGACATCACTTGGTTCCGCCACCACCTAACGACCTAATGTGGTTCCTAGACATTAGGCTGAAGTGACAGGTCCAGACGAAGGTGTTCCAGACCTGCAGTGGGCAGTGTCTTGTGCTGACAGCTTGATTCCTTGAGAACCAAGCACTCAGGTGCCCTGGAGTCTCCGAGTTGGAGAGTCTAGGCGGGGAGGAGTTATTTAGGAAAGCTGGGAAATTCCCAGCCTGTTTCTTCTCCCATTAGTCCATGACTACACCCTGGCCAGAGTGATGAGAGAAGAGAACCCTTAGTTCTGGAATAAATGGACCACTTCCTTCACACTGGGCACCACACTAAGCACCTATGGTTCACATTCTCTCAAACACGCAACATGCAAGGCTCTTAGCCCCATGGCCATGAGGCAGAGGACTGAGGTGTGCAGATGGTCTCCTCAGGGTGGAAACCTGTAAGCTCAGTGGGCTAACGACAGCACCATTTAGGGGGGATTTCTGAGTTCTCGTTTTCAGTGGGTCCAGTCCTGGGAGGGAGGTATGAGATGCTGCAGGGGCGGCCAAGTGTGTCTTGCACCCTGCCCCCCAGGACTGGACACACCCTTGCTGGTTGTCTGGGTTCTAGAGGTGAGTCAAGCTGACTCAACATACCTGGCTTATGGCAAGGGTGGGCCAAAGATGTTCAGGACTGGATGCACAGCACAGCTAAGGCTTGTTCCAGCTGTCTCCCCTCCCTGAAGCTCTGGGCAGGGATGTTAGGTGCCAAGGGAGCAAAAAGCCTGGGTAGCAGGAGAGGAGAACATGTTCTATGGCAGGCACAAAGGCTCAAAATAGAACAAAAGAAACCTGAAATCTGGTCTTGGGGTGAACTGAACTGTCTCAGCTTGGTGCAATGACTGTTTTAATTTTTTGTTTTGGTTTTTGAGACAGAATTTCTCTGTGCAGCCTTAGAAGTTGCACTATAGACCAGGCTGACCTTCAACTCAGAGAATCATCTGCCTCTGCCTCCTGAGTGCCAGGGTTAAAGGTGTGCATGAGTACTCCTGCCTCTAAATCTTTTCCTTTTTTTTTTAAGATTTTTATTTTAAATTATATGTATGTGAGTCAGGCGGTGGTGGCACATGTCATTAATCCCAGCACTCAGGAGGCAGAGGCAGGAGGATCTTTTTGAGTTCGAGGCCAGTTCCAGGACAGGCTCCAAAGCTACAGAGAAACCATTTCAAAAAAAACGAAACAAAAAAAAAAAAACAAACAACAAAAAATTATGTGTGGCCAGGCGGTGGTGGCGCACGCCTTTAATCCCAGCACTCGGGAGGCAGAGGCAGGCGGATCTTTGTGAGTTCGAGACCAGACTGGCCTACAGAGCTAGTTCCAGGACAGGCTCCAAAGCCACAAAGAAACCCTGTCTCGAAAAACCAAAAAAAAAAAAAAAAAAAAAAAAAAAAAAAAAATTATGTGTGTGTACAGGTGCCCTTGGAGGACACAAGTGTGGGACCCCCTGGAACTGAAGTTACAGGCATTTGTAAGCTGTTTGGTGTGGGTGCTGGGAGCTGAACTTGAGACCTATACAAGAGCAGGACATACTCTTAACCTCCAAGCTATCTCCCCAGCAAAGGGTTAACATCTGGGTGCAAGAAGTCCTACTGAGTGCCTCATAGTGGGGCTCTGTGCTGGTGGAACCACTCTGCCTAGGGCAGAAGACAACGCAAAAGGTGGATAAAGATGGGTTTTTTCACCAGAGGAACAATGCAAGCCTTGGTGGCGCGCTAGAGCAGGGGTTCTCAACCTATGGGTCTCCACTTCCACAGGGATTGCCTAAGACCATGGGAAAACACAGAGACGATCATAACAGTGGCAAAGTTATAGTCATGAAGTAGCAATGACCATAGTTTCATGGCCGGGGGTCGCCACAACGTGAGGACCGGATGTAAAGGGTGCCACTGGGGGTAGGAAGGTTGAGAGCCGTGGCTCTAGAGCATCACCATATTGGGAATCTCTGGAACAGCCCTGGGGGAGCTCAGGAAGGAGAGGCGTGGGGGAGGGGCGGGCTCGTCATTCCAGGAACATTCCATTCCAGCTGCTCAGCCTCACGGGGATCCCAGCCAAGGACCGAGATCCCAGGGAACCTCTGCTTCTCTGAGCCCCTTTCCATAGCAAACCCTCTTGCCCTGCCTCCCTATGATAGTCCTCAAGGAAGCAGCTGTGGAAGGTTTCGGGTGGGGTGGGATAGCTTCTGGAAAAGGTAATTAAGGCTCTTGGCATTGTTCTTCCAGCTCCTTGGAGCCTCCACTTTATGGGTCTGGACTTCTGCATTCCACGCCTCTGGATACCGCCCTCAGGAAGACTTCCAGGATTGACTGTACCCGGTCTCAGCACCCTCCTCCCAGGAGCCCTTCCAGTGGCAAGGGCCTGGGGCCTGGGAACTTGCTCTACTCTGAATTGTTGCTTTCCATACACTGCGTTTAACTTTGCTTATGCAGGGACCTGAGATGCTGTCAATTAGCAGAGTGCAGCAAACATGGCCAGTGTGACCACGAGAAGGCTTTCCTTTAAAGATAGACTCCTCATTCTTAAACTGCAGGTCACAGTGTAGCTGGAGCCCCCGTCACTGCAGGTCACAGTGTAGCTGGAGCCCCCGTCACTGCAGGTCACAGTGTAGCTGGAGCCCCCGTCACTGCAGGTCACAGTGTAGCTGGAGTCCCTATTGTCACTTCTATGTCCAGTAGCTCCAGGAGGCCTATTTGAGGCAAATCATGGTGTAGAAAACGCCCATTTTCCTTCAGCCACTGTCCTTGTCCTCCCCACGTGAGTGAGGACATCCCTGTGGCTCCTTGCAGACAATCAGCTGCTGCCTCCTAGGGGGACACCTCTTTCTTAGGATGAGGTGGTGGCAACATCAAACTTCCGAGCAAAGTTCAATGCACAGGGGAAATCCATTTCTTTACGACAAGGGAAGGAGGCACATGTACTCACACACCGGCTGGAACTTAGAGGCTTCTGTATATCAACTCGGTCCCCAACTATATACACACGGGAAGAATAAAACTCAGTAATGCGAGGCTGAACTGTGCGGTGTTGTGGCTCACGTTGCAGTGTCCCTGCGCCTTCCGTCTGGTGGGTGACAGCTTCTGTTTGGTTTGGCAGTCTGGGCCTAGGGACTGGCTTACAGAGTGGTTTTCCCTTGACTTGGCTCAGAGCTGACCTTTGGCTAACAGCGGTGTGACAAGGAAGCCCAGATAGAAATACATGAGACCGAGTGACACGTGCAGGCTGAGAAACTGTGGCAGTGGATGTCAACGCTTGTGGTATAGTATTGTGGGTGACTGTCCTTGGGGTCCCAGGAGACAGGTGCATTTAAACTGGGGAGAGTCTTTTAAAGGGGACTTTAGAAAAGGTATGGGAGCCAGGCAGTGGTGGTGCACGCCTTTAATCCCAGCACTCAGGGAGGCAGAGGCAGGTGGATCTCTGCGAGATCGAGGCCAGCCTGGTCTACAGAAAGAGTTCCAGGACAGTCAGAGATACACAGAGAAACCCTGTCTCCAAAAACAAACGTAGGTGTGGGATGTATCTAAGAAACTAATAAAGGGGAGCCAGAACTGGTGACACACGGCTAATCCCGGCACTCAGGAGACAGACGGAGGCAGGAAGACGGGAGAATTTAAGGCGAGCCCGGGCTACACAGGACACAGGAATACTCCCGTCTTAAAAAAAAAAAAAAAGAAAAAGAAAAAAGTCAAGAAAACAAAAAACTGGAGCTGTAACTTCAGTAATAAGGTGTTTGCCTAGAATGTGGAAGGCCCTGGGTTCCAGAGAGAGCTCATGAGAATAACTCACATTGGGAGGCAAGTGTTAAAGGCCTGCTGCCATTGCGTGAGGGGCGTGAACCACGACAGCCTGGGAGGGAGGGAGAAGAGTAAACACCCTCTCCTTTCAGGCTCCTCCTGCTGGGGCCTCAGTGTCAAGAGCAGGAGGAAACTGGGGAACAAGGGAGCCATTGATGCCACCCAACAGCCTCCCCAGGGCCCTGAGCAGATGGGTGGATAGTGGGTCAGCAGGGGCCGGCATACCATGTACCTGCCCAGGGGTGCCCACTGTGGTTCTGGCCCCCTGACTTACAACTGGTAGGAAGGGGTGGGTGGGTTGTTATTGGTACAGCGGTTAGAAGAAGGTGAAGGACAGGACTCCCTCCCCTCAGCTGTCCGGATTCCGAATTCCTGCAGCCTGCACATCCTGGCATTCCTAGGTAGCCACGGGGATGATCCGCAAGGACAACGTCAGGAACAGAGTGTTTTTCTCACACCCGGAAACAATGTACCACACCCATAGCTCTCAGGTGTGCTGTTGCCACGACAGGTCCCAGACAGTCACCCCAAGCCATGACTACTGGCACAGATACATCAAGAAAATGTATGTCTTGGCACGCTGCTACACTCTGCCAGTCATGCAGAAAATAGCCCAAGCCTTGCCACAGTTGCACAGGAGACAGGCTTGTCACCGTCATTCGTGTGGAACTACAGTGCAAGGGCGGATGCAACTTCTTGAGTCCGGCAAAACCTCTTCCACCGCTTCGGCCCGCGTTTTTGTCTCTAAGATGGAAAGAACACTGTTCTCTGGAGGTGTTGTAAGGATCCGACTCCAGTGCTTGGACGGACCTAAGCATGGCATCGGGCCTAGAATAAATCATGCTCCACAGCTGTTGCCGTGAACGTCTGCCACTCCCCCCACCTCGTCACATCCACGCACGTGTGCGTGTCGGCTCCAGAGAGCACCCACACCCACACAGGACCGGCCAGACATCCTTAGGCACACGTGCCCTCCTTCAGACATGCCTGCCAGGGCACGTGTGCATTCAGAGACAAGCTCCCTTGGCCCAGAACACTTTCTCTAGACAGCTACATGGCTCACTTCCCAGAACCTATCAGGCTTTGTTCAATCCAATGCCATCTTCCATGAGGGGCACCTTGTGTCGATTTAAGTTCCTTGCTACATACATTTTTCTGCATTGCTGACCTTCTAAGATCACACTGTTTACCTTATTAGGGTATAACTGTCACAAGGGAAGGGATCCTAAACCCAGAACCATAACAGGCGTATGGTTGATCTCGGTACATACACACGAAGACAGAACTGGGTTTCTCATCTGAACCAAGCAAATCCAGGTGAACCCCGCATCCCAAGCCATTGAGCTGGCTGTGTTTACAATGTTCCCAGCTCAGGTTTAGGCTCACATGGCCAAATCAGGAGGTAGGAGAAGTTATGTCTCTCTGAGCACCTTAATGAGGTGGCCACAGGTGGGTGGGATAGGAAAGCTCCCCCCCCCCCGTTTTTTTCTTTTTCAAGACTTTCTCTGTGTAGCTTTTGGAGCCTGTCTTGGAACTCACTCTGTAGATCAGGCTGGCCCCAAACTCAGAGGTCTGCCCGCCTCTGCCTCCGGGGTGCGGGATTAAAGGTGTGCGCCAGCACAGTCAGGCCTGGGAGATCCTTTTCAATTGCCTTTCCAGCCATTTAGAGCCAGAGGCAGAAGGAGCTGAGGCACCTAGCCAAACCCACAGCACAGGTGAGCACGCCCTCTGATGACCCCCTGGGGCCTCCTTTGCTGCTTTATTCTTTTCCACCTGACTGGAACCATCAAAGTCACCACTTCAGAGGGGCCTAATGAGGCTGAATATGTTAAAAGCTTTGCGATCCCCCAGATCAAAGAGGCGGGGTAAACAGCAGGCAGCGTCCAGAAGTGAGTGACCAATGCCCTGAGGGAATAGCTCCCCAAAAGCTGGTACTGCTGGACCACTTGGCTGGCCCCAGCTGGGTTCAGAGAGACCCAGCCACTCTCTAGGGAACCTGTTTACAATAAGGTAGAGCATGCCCATGTCCACTTGCTTGGAAGACTGTACCTGGACTCTGGGGGACCCCTGCAAATCACCTAGCCTCAGCTTTCATTCAAGTTCAGATTCACCCTGCTTGCTTCCTGGGCAGACAAAGTGGAAAGACATGCTCACCAAAGGCCAGGTTCAGGCCTCTAGGATTCCGGGGCATATACCCCTTTAACACGAGAGGCCTAGACTTGCTGAGCCAACACGGAGACCAGCCAGACTCCCAGTTCACAGCTGTTAAGCTTTGGACAGGAGGAACTCGCAACAGCCGCTCCTTGGCTCCTCCTCCCACATCACAAGTCAAACAGCCTGGAGAGGTAGGGCCAACCTGTGCCATAGAGATCCTTACCCCAGGAGGAAGCATACGGTTATGCCAGGTGTAGACACTTTTATTGGTGGGAAGAGTACACCACAGTGGCAAGCTCAGAGGAATGGGGAAAGAGATGGGGTATGCCTCCCGCCCGCCCGCCACGTGAAAATCCCATAACCGAGCCATGGGGTGGGAGTAGCTGACTGCGGCAGCTTTGAACCAGGCAGCACCCAGCATTAGTGCCCAGACAGCAGGGCTCCTGGGAGACACAAGGGAAGGGAGAGGGTGGCACACTGGGAGGCATCCCATCGTGGCTGGCTGTTTACCTGTCCACTGGACACCTCAGCACCTCAAGAAGGCCACATGGGTTTCAGGAGCCTGAATTCCCATCCCTCCAGAAACCCAGGGAGCTGCCTCATGCCTTAGTTTACCTTCTTAACGGTCAGCGAGGTTGGACCACCCGGCTCTGAGTCATTCATATAGACCCCAAAGTGAGTATTCCTGCCACATGATGTCATATTGTAGCCAGTGTAGGAACTTCTGGGTCCTTGTGGGCTGACCCCATCTAGGCCATAGAAATCCACCCAAGGTGTCAGTACTGAGACCACCACCCCAGCTGACTTTGTCTTTTCAACAGGTTAATCTCTATGACCCAAGTCATGCAGGTCCAGGAGTGTGGTATGATGACCAAAGGGTCCTCCTATCAAGAACCTGATTTGGCCCATAGGAACCTCATGCAGGAAAAGTCTGGTCTGTTCAAAAGCCCAACCCTCTAGTACCAGGCCAGCTGGCACAGGCGGCCCGTGTCTGGCCACATCCTCCGCACATACCTGATGATCCTGCCCCACCCCCACGAAGCTCATTCCCTTCTAGCCAGGATCAGTCAGTTGCAAGGCAGCCAGGTGGGATAGGAGTGAGCCCGGGGCAGCAGGGGCTGCATGGGGGTCACATAGTAATTAACAGTGGCTGGTACGACTCCATCAGAGCCTGGACGTCTCCAGGCCAGGGCAGCGGCGGCAGCAGGGCCCTGCTCAGCTAGCGCCTGGAGGGCTAGCATGGTGATAAGGTCCAGGGTCTGGCGGCGCTCGTGGCTCATGAGGCACACTGTGCTCTCGTTGACCACCTGGTGCAGTGTTACAAGGCAAGCATACCGGCGGGCTGCATCTGCTCCGCCAAAGTGGGCCTCCAGGTAGCGCTCCAGAATGCGCCTCTGCTCCACCGGGTCCGGAAAGTCGATGAAGAAACGGGAACACATGTATCGCTGTAGGGCACGAACGTCGGTGCTGGGCCTTGGTCGGAAGCCCCGCACCAGGAGGTGGCAGTACTTGAGGAGGCCGCCGCCGCGGATCTCCTCAGGGCTGCGGGTGGCAATGACGCGGTGCTGCAGATGCTCCAAGGCCTCAGCAAAGTCCCCATATAGGCTCTCGCCTGTCACAGTCGGGTGGAAGTCCTCCGACATTGGTGTGCATGAGCACTGGCCAAAGAGCAGCAGCGAGTCCAGGATGATCTGGAAGGAGTCGATGCTGAATTCGAACTGGCGCCTCACGGAGTCCACGAATTTGAGTTCCACGTTCTTACCGATCTTGTTGGACAGCGAGATGAGGCTCCAGCGGTCCAGCTCCGTGCACACTTTCACCAGCTTCTGTACATAGGCCTCCTTGAGGGTCAGGGGCGTGATCTTGGCCCGGCTCACTCCCACCGGCAGGAAGTCCAGCAGGCAAGCCAGGACCACTGTCTTGGTCAGCTGGAAGGATGCCTCACTCTGCAGGTCCATCTGGAACACCAGGTCCAGGTCCTTGTAGCCTAGGCCACTCTCGGGGTGCAGCACGTGGCTGGCAGCTGAGCCATGCAGCCGAACGCTGTGTACATGCAATCCCTG